TAATATAATGAATTGACTTATTATCAAACTGAAAGAGGAGAACATCATCTGTACAACTGCGTCACATTTTTTCTCGATATTTTAATTTTTTAGCAATATTAAAACTAGCAGCACAAAGTTGTCCCTGCCGAACGCATATTTGCTAAACCATCGTAAATTTATAAGACATTGACAGCGCATGTGGGTATCAAGTTCTCTAACAAATATTCGGGAAAACTGCAAAGGGCCTGTGCAATTATTTGATCATTAAATCTCGCGAGAAATGTCAAACCCTAAAGTGCTTAAACTTTTAATTGATTCAAAAGTTTAGGTTTTTTATTTCGGAAAATCAATAGGTTATTACCCTTATTACAATTTAATAATATTATTACGGTAAGTCATCGTTTGTTTGCATACCCATAAACTATACTTATGTATATTCGTATATACAATATATACTTTAGTACAAATCGTAAAACAGATAGAAAAATGATATTAGGTTCATTAATAATGCACGCCGATAACTACTCTTATTGTAACAAAGTGACATTTTAATTTACACTTAATGTACTATAGTCTATATCAGCAATTCTCAAACTGCGATACGCGGTAGGCAACATGATGGTACGTAGACAACCGGATGGTAATAGTACAGAAAGTAAATTAATCAATATTCGTACAAATGTTTTTTAACGGATCTAATACTATATTATATATTGCTATTATATTGAAGTATTTTACTGTCTTATACTCTTATCGTTTTGAAATAAATGTAAAAACATGAATTGTTCAACTTTTAATTTTACGTGATACATGACAGATCCATAATACATATAAGTGGTACGCGAAATTAAAAGTTTAGAGAACCCCTGTTCTATATTAGGTATTGCAAAGCCGGCGGAATTTATTTGAAATTGTTGTTAAACTCGAACTCGTGTCACGCGGTCTCATCTCATCGCTTTTACCGCGGTGTTAGTTATTATTTACTTAGGAATCAATGAATGTATTGGTTTTACATATATTATGTTTATTTTTTCTGTGTGTAAATAACTTTTCTACTAGAAATCTTGGTCCAATGAAAAACTTTATAGGAACTTACTTGGAACATTTTTAATCTAGTTGGTAGATATTTTAGTTTTTTTAATTAACGAAAACCAATTGTTCGTGTAATTTTTGTTGATTTCTGAGTTACCACGGTAACGAAGTTAATAGTACTGTAATAGTAATAATAATAGTAATACTTTGTTCAAAATCGTTTTGCGTTAACAATGGTTTATCGATGCGTACAGATATTAAATTACTCTATACATCTTCCATTCCAAATTCCCTCCTAAAATATTGGCACACCCATCAGCAGTATCGACCTTTTTTTATTTATTTTTTTAACGCTCCATCCGTCGCGTAAAAGTGACTTTTTTCTATTATAAATTCCATAAAAGACATTATAATACATAACCTGTGGACCGTATCATTTTGGTTTGTGTGTTTAAGGTAATCATGTAATGGCCCCCCGTGCCAGCGTCCTTTGTTTAGTCGGCGCAAACACGAATTTTGCCCTTTATTATTGTTGTCGTACAAAAGGCGGACAATCGATCAAGGACAAAGCGGACGGCCCGAGTATGTCATTATTGTTATTATCGTATTATTATTCAATATTTATCGAGTGCATCGGCACCTCATCGTCGCCGTTATTGTTTTCAAACATTAATCCAAATTAATGTTACCCTTTCGGGCAGAGGGCAATATCAATACAATATTAAAGGGTAAGTGCTCGTGGAAATACGAAATTACCAAGTTGGACAAGTTACTCAATTTTTATAACCGAGTTACAGCTATACATACCTTGATTAAATAACTCAGATAAATTACAAAAAAATACTATAAGGGAAAATGTATTCGTTAATAAGTTACTAGTTAAAGGTACTTGTAAAAAAGAGTAACAGTTAATTTACTTACTCAAATACACGAAAATTTGTTATACAACTGGTAGATAATATAAATTTTAAAAATATTATTTTATAAAATTGTACCTATACCAGGGGTTCTCAATTTTTCTCCAGAAAATTTATCACGATTCACATGGTTTTACTTTTCAATAAATAGTTTATGAAAACAACTAGATAAATCAAAAACTGACATCCTTAAAGTACCATCTCAATAAGATTTCCTTTCTGAAAAAGTGCTACATTTGAAAATCGGAGCAAATTTGCTGGTAGAAAAGTTGTTCACAGATAAAAAAAAAAAAATAACTTTATTGTAAAATCAATGCATTTCTTGTCCGCTCAGAATCTAAAAACATACATTCCTTGAAATCTATATGATTCAATACAATTTTAGTGACCCAACAAAAATTGACTCGGGACTCACCAGTGGATCGCGACCCACAGTTTGAGAAACGCTGATCTATACAATTAATAATAATATTATCTATAATAATAGAAGGAAATGTCTGTTTGTCCATCAGTTAATTAGTTTATTTTCCCGAAATAGACCCAGGCGTTGATAATAATAACATTAATATAGGTATTAATAGGTATACCTATGATTACAGTCGCCTATACGATGTATTTATAAACCACACTATTTATTCACGTCAGTAAAATATCTCCGTATAGTATGTATATTTGAATATAATCCTCAAATTCCCTAAGAGTAACCGGTGAATATTCCCCTCAAATTCAGAATCGGTTATAAAATGATGGAATTCGTTTGGTTTCACCGATCTCACTGGTTACAAATCGGTCACAAAATCGTGTGACCTTTTCGGATAGACAGTGACGATCGCTGACCTATCATCATTCCCTCCAGCATTATTATTTCACCTCGTTAAATGATCGGCTCGGCGTCTAGGACATGTCATCATTATTATCGTAGCCGTTTAAGTTATTGTTGCTTGTACCGTTCAAAATGAGTCTCTTATTATTTTTAAACATTAAGGGGGGAGGGGTGGTAAATCGTCTATAAAGGATTTAAGTTAAACGAACCGGTTACTATGAATTGTAATCATACCAAAATAGTTTACTATCAATTTGTGATCAGTGACTTCTATGAATTTTTGGTATAATACCACGGTAATCTACACCGTAATAACCGTGAATTATACCAGCGAACAAAAATACTAACGTCATCACAGTACCTATAGGCATCGTTTTACGATTATCGTTTGTTATAATATTGACGTGTGATGATATTGTATTGTTTATACTGTCGGATTTGATGCGAACGGCAAAATAGATTATCATTTAGAGTGTATTATAATTTATAGAAGCTCAAACATGTTATTTTCTCTTTACATTTTTAAAAAAAATGACAAACTTCTAATAAAATCATATGCATATTATATTATCATAATTTATTTTTTAAATTAAAATGTGAAGACGTTATAAAAATATATTACTAATATTTATTTTAAACATTAGGAATTTAGAAATTTAATAATTCTGGTAAATAAATTAATAAAAAAAAAAATGTATTTTTCTGGGGTGGTACTTTAAGGAAGTCAATTTTTGATTTATTCAGGAGTTTTCTCAATAAATGGGAAAAACGGAAAAAAAGTTACAATATTAAACAAATATTATTAAAGAAAATATATAATCCATATGTACTTTACCATAATGTGACACATATATATATATATATGTATTATGGACAAAGTAACACTATCCACTAAACTCTGCTCAGAATCGGTTTTCTTTAGCAACCGTTAATCGTCGCGTACAAAGATAAAAATTAAATTTTCCCTCTACCTTCCAACTTCTGATCTATAACAGTGGCCCACCCACGTGCAATGTATGTCCGTCGTTTTTTCTTTTTTAATTATTTTGAACTAGTTTTTTCACTTAGGTACTCGATCAGAAAGTGAGGAACGCTCTAAACCTACGCCATCGCGTTGAAAAATCCCGGGCACGCAACTATGGGCCATAGCGAAATGCGCACGGCCAATATGATATGATTATCTACCCTTAATAAGATATACGGGCGTAATAAAGAAAGAAAAATAAAATAATAATAAAAAAAAAAAAAAAAGATGAAAAAAACGAACGCGGATTTTCGGACGCGTGACCCGAAAAACGGATCCGGACTCCGGCGCCGTGCTCCGCACCACCGGCGGAGGACCTCGTCCCGCGACTCGTAAATAACGTCACGGACTTTGTCGGCCGCGTTTTTCTCCCGCCCGATCGGCCGTGATATTGGGCGTACGCAGGTACACTGTTACGCGCCACGCCGCGCCGGTGCAGCGGCAACCGTGTACATAATGGCCAATAACGGACGTGGCCCGGGTCCGGAATAAACGCGCGCACCCGCGCGAGTGTAGCGGGCGAATTCCCGGGGGGGCAATAATAGCATGTGCGCGTTCCCTGCAGTGTTTTTCGCGGCGAAACAGAAAAAAAAAAAAAAAAACAACCTAACTTTTCGCAATTGATTGTAGTTGTTTATCGCGTAACGAGCGCCGCCGCCGCCGTCGCCGCCCACCGAGGCGACGGCGACGGGGAGACGGCCGCGCAGCTACGCGCGACGTTTCTTTTATTTTTCCGCGTGTGTTATTTGTACGCCGCCGTCAGATATTATTACCGTCGGGATTACACTGTATAGGTACCTCGCTGCGTGCGCGCTCCCGATTACTTTACTCGTTTTTTTATCCCCTTTCTCTTCTCCCCGAATCGCCAGATTTCCGACGAAAACAATAATCCTCCCCGTTCGCCTTTTTTCCGGGACGCGCTACACCATAATAATATGATAAAGGAAATATTTGACACTCGTTTCGGTCGAAAAATCGGTTCGTTTAATAGGACGCCATATTTGTTATACATTGCATAGTACACATTACCGTGATTCGTGATATTATTAACTGTCACCAGGCACGTATCCGGGGAATCCATGAAATCTGGATCCCCCTCTTCCAAAATTCTCCTATATCTGTCGGTTACAGATAAAACCAAAATCCGGCACTAAACCCAGATTACGCAGACAGCAGTTAACACCGCCATGGCGCTCGAACAATAGCCATCTGATTGCCCGACTTAGAGTGCCCTGCAGATGCTGGTGACCGTTACGCTGGCTTTATTAGTGGCAACGTCAAGGTCACCGTCATCCTCCGGAACCGCGGCACAGATCGCCTCAATAACTTCCTCAGACGTAGTCACCGCATCCAAGTCGAGGACCTCGAGAAGGATTGTTGGGACCAATTTGGAGACAGCGCCAGTTTGAGATCCGAGTCTATCAACGAGAATGCCCCTAAGCTTGTCAGCCGTAGCGACGATCAGTAAATCATTAGCTCGAGTTCTTCTCATGGCCATGACCTTGGTGTTCAGTTCAAAGGAGTTGCAGGACTTCCTCGCCACTCTGACGGTATTAGCGTATTGGTGAATCATTCGGAAACTTTGATGAAAACCGCTGGCGCCTTGGGTGCCAGATGCCTAACGACTTTGCGAGTTTTGTTAACCGAGGTCCGGTCACCTTTCTCCGTCCACAGCTTGGACGCCTTACTCTTGAAACTCGCAACGGTGCGTTAAGCCGCAACTCCGATGCCGAATTAGCGAGTGTATGCGAGACGAGTGCACCGACACTATAAACACACAAAAAAGGCAGCGAAAATCCAGTGTAAAAAACCGCTGTGCGCAGAGCAACAAATTGAGATATTGTCTCGACCTTGGTGCCTACGAGACAGTATTAAGCATCCATATTATTATTTTATCCTTAAACGACGGGACGTTCTATATTTATATTTTTAATACAGCTGCTCAAATATCGGCAGTTTAAAATGTTTTCACTAATTTTAGATTCCGAGCGTAGCGAGGTGGAACTATTGGTTTTACTAAGATGTTTATTTTATTATTTCTTTCTTTTTTCTAGTGTGTGGACGTGTTTTTTTCCTAGTAAACTTACTTCGATTTTTACGTGTAGAAACTTTTCTGGAGGCTCAAGTTGTCTGGATGATACTAGTTTGATCATTTTTTTGATTTTCGACGCCATTTTTTAAATAAATGCACTTAAGTGGGAAAAAACGTAGGAAAACGTACAATTTCACGGTTTCATTATTTTATAAAGACACGGACAACGTTTTCTACAAGAAAAAATGATTTATTCGAAAAATCACAAGTCGCCTTTTTTGATTTACTTTCTTACGGTATCATTGCCAAAACTTTTGAGTTTTTAAGAAATTAAAATTTTTTTTGCTGTTATTCGGTTATAAATACACATAAAGACTGGGAACTTGGTAATAAAATTTATATTGGAATTACCTAGAAAAAAATTTTACCTAGGTAAAATTTCCAAAATCATTGGACGACTTTTTTTTTTTTTCAATAAGTGTTTTGCGTTCAAATTTAAACGAAATACGCAACAAAAAAAAATACGGCACTTTAAATTATATATTACCGAACTGCGCTCGGAATCGTCTTTTTGTCAGCAATGGTTTATCGTTGCTTACAGACATAAATAAAATAATCTTATGTATCCTACCTTCCCAACTTCTCACCTACAACAGTGGCCGCTCCCATCCCCAGTATCGGTTCTTTTTTCTGAAGTCTGAACAAATATTAATTTATGCAGGAGCGAAACCCTACGTAAATCTCCCTTGATTAACGAGTGCCGACTTCGTTGGTTGGCGGTTGCATTTTTTCTAGATAGTTCTGTGAAAAAATTGTAAACCATTTACACGTTTACATGCGTCTGATCTGCTATTGCTATTGATAGTTTGATAGGTACTGGCAATATGATGAATATAAATGTCGTGATTTTATCGGACAACGTACAACCAGCGATCTTGCACTGAGACTGATATGTTTTGCGAACGCTTAATATTTTGAACATTATTCTTACCGATTTATAATCCGTGAAAATCATTATTTAATAATCTTCAATGCATTTTTTTTGTTTTTTTGGAAACATTTTTTTTAATTTAATTTTTCAAAATTATTTCATAATTATTTATCAGTGAAGGAGTTTGTTTTTTTGTACATCTGATCACACTGCTGAAACGCAACGAACGATCGGTTATCTTGCAACATGCCAACATGTGGTTATTGGTACCTAAACCTAATATTACTATTTTTACACAATATTGTTGTTATGTTTATTACCAAATTTAAAAATTTTATTGGTTGATAATTCCTTAATAATTAAATTTTTTTGTTTATTTTAAATGTTAAATATTGTTATAAATTATACCAAGTGATTAATATAAGTATTATACTTAATTATATGGTGTTTTATCGAGTGTCATCACGCATTTCGCTGGCATTATTCAGGTGTTCAAATTTCGGTAAGTACCGATATTGAAAAATATTATGTATTTCTAATAAAAATTATGTGCACTAATATTATATATTATTTTATGTTACATCACTAAGTACAATTATAATAATATCTAATTGTATAACATTCAGTGTAAATAACATTATAAAATATGCATTAAATAGTATTATTATTATTATTAGTATTTAGTTTTATAGTGTTAAATTGTATAATTATTATTTGAAGGTACTTATAAAGGATCTAACTTAGTTAGCTGCGACATCAACCATGTTCCAGCTGAAACTGTGCATACTTTGGTTGATGGTCTATACCGCTTTTTGTCTTAAATTAACAGTGTTTGAAATCGGAAAACCCATTCTTGTGGAAGGAGATAGTACACATTTGTTGTGTCAATATGACCTACAGGGTGAACATTTTTATTTTTTTTTTCAAAGAAAAAGTTTCAATAACTATGATAATTGAATTTATATGCATTGTAATTTTGATATCTGTGTAGGTGAGCAATTGTATTCAGTAAAGTGGTACAAAGACGATCATGAATTTTACAGATTCGTACCTGGGGAATCGTCTGAAGTACAATTTTTCCCTGTTGATGGAGTACACGTTGATGAGAAACGAGTGACTAATGGAAGCCTATTTCTTAGGAAATTGGAACCGGTGAGCAGTGGTATATACATGTGTGAAGTTTCTACTGAAACGCCATTCGAAATACTTAGCAACCATAGTAGGCTTACAGTTCTTCCCTCTGAAAGACCGTACATATTGAAAAGCAAAAACCTACCCGAATTGACTGACATTTTCAGTGTGAACTGTACTCCCAGGCAGTGCACAGACAAGATTTCAATATTTTTGTCAGTGTCATTTTTCATTGTACTTTTCGAATATAATAAAAAATAATTATTTATGTTTGTATGTATATATTTTTATACACAAATAAAGTAAAAATTGTTACCGTCATATTCAAATGTAACCTTACTCAGGGGATGCCATAGTTGTAGTTGAGAAGGTAAAATATATGATAAGGTAATTTAGCTTAAATCCTGAATGCAACAATAAATCATTGCAAACAAAAACTGAATTTGAGAAATATTTTCTTGATCAATTTAAATTAAATATTTCATTAATCTGCAACTACTAAATAAATTACAATTATTTGTGTTTTAATTAATTGTATAATACATTTGTAGTTCTATTTCATTTAAAACAAATCAAAAGTAATAAGCTTATAAAAGCTATAATTTGTATTATATAATTTCACATACAAAATGGTTCGATTAAGAGTAATATATTTTAACTATCCATAGTTTTAAAAATATACAAAACAAATTTAAAAATTTAGGCATTTATATTAAAATATATATTAATATAATATATTAATATATATATATATATAATATTATAATTGAATTCATTACATTTACTAAAGAAATTGTTGATGATTTGAATTTGAATGATTTTTTTTTTATATTCATTCAAAATACAAAAAAATTGGATATAGGAAATATATTATTGTAATTACTACAAAATCGAAAATAATAGAAACCATTATTTTGTAAATTTTCTCGGTTTCCCATTATTTTTCTAACTGTAATACTATAAGATAAATTTAAAAAAATGACCTCCAAAATATATCAAATAGACAATATAATTTTTTTCTAGAAATCACTCCAGAAGTTAATGAACGAAGAAATATTTTTGTAGAAAAGTTATTAACACACACAAACATGAAATTCCCTTAAATTATACAATTTATCAAAAATCTTAAAAAGAATATATTATAATATGTTAAATATTAAGTAACAATAGCAATAAATTAATAAATAATGCATTTTTAAATTTTTTATATAAATATCTTATATTTCCCGAGACCATTTTTGTACAAATTTAGGAAAATTGGATACCTTCTTCATAAATAAAGAAATGATATTTTCCCTCTAATTGAGCATATAAATGAAAACATTTTTCTATGAATGCACACTAAATATAAAGACATGATATTATATTATCGTTTTTAAATATCTCGCACACTAAAGAATAATTTACTAAGAAAACAATTTTCTGATGTAACCATGATTATAGTTACCTTTTTAATTAGACATTCTCTCCAACCATCCCAGGAGCACTAGTTACAGGTGAATCTAGCTGATTCATGGGAGGCACTTTGGTGAACACTTTCCTAAGTTGTTGAGCAACCATTAAACAGTATCTATAGTTGTGGATGTAACTAAGAAAACAGAAAAAAAAAAGTAAAACTATCTGTAATATTGTACCTAATTAAGTTAAAAAAATCTGGTTTTAAGTTAGTGTACCTATTTTGTTTTGTCCTTTGTTTAAAATTTTAAACATTTGTTTCTTATGTATTTTGTCCAAAATTAGTATAGTTTTATTGTATCATTTTTTATTAGTTTTTAAATGTTTTTTTTTATAGAAAAACCGTTGGGAATCAAGATGAGTAAAACAGTTAAAATAATATAGTAAAATACCACTATGTGTAAAATTCTCATCTTATAAGGTATATTATAAATGTTTTGGAGGATTACACAGCCATAAAAATACTACAGGTCTCATTTTGGTTAGAATTTAATAATAAATTAATATTTCAGACATGTATTTTATTAACTATTATACTATTCAACGTTTGACATGCGATTTTACATTATTCAAACTTCTTACCGGAAGAAACAATATATTGTCATATTGACCTACAAATTATGTAAATAAATTTAATTAAATTTCTCCTAATTTTGGATAGATCTGGTGGATGAGAATGAACACTCAACATTTTTGTTACCTATTTCATCGTTATTTATGTAAAATCTCGCAAGACACTGCTGAATCATTTTTATTTTTCACACATTTCCACATTGTTTTTTCCATTTTTAGATACTTAGTTTCTCTCTGGAATATAGGAAACCCTTAGATGGCCCGATTTAGGTACTAACAAATAATTACCCTCTGGCACTTATTACAAATTGCATTTTGAACACAGTTAAAAAGAAAAAAATTATTATCTGCTATTGGAGATTCCGAAACAAACATTAACGGCTACAATAATCAAATACTGAAGATAGGAATACGGAAAGCTCTGTAAAAACTTGTCAGCGACATAGCTCTCCAAAATCTCGATATTGCATACTTAGCCCCTAAGCTTTTTTTCGAAAACTACTTTTATTTAATATAAAATCTATAGTATTTGCTATAATATACTGACCATCTTGTCGAAAATTTCAATAATGTATAAAACGATAGTGTACCGATCATAGAAAAGAGATTGTACCGATCTTTATTATTTTTGTTATTACAATACTATTAAACTATAATTATAATTACCTATAATGGAATCGTATTATTATATTCATCGTTTATCGAAGATAAATCGATCGTTTGTCGTGTTAAAACATGGCAACGCATTTCGAGTGTTCGAACAATTATTAGTGTTTAGTTTGTTTTTTTTTTACATATCTACTATGGCGATTTTTTATTTCTTTCAGTTATATCGCTATACTTTTAATAAAAACAGTTTTTTGTTAATTAAATAGTGCCTATCCATATGCTTATACCTAGTTTAATCCAACCAGCTATTTTTTCGCTTCAAAATGACTACCGCTGTAAAAATATTCTACGTTTGTATTGTTTTGCCGTTTACTACGGCCGATGTAAATATCCGAAAGTGTAAACTAACCCATTCCGGGATCGAATACAGAGGAAACGTATTTATTACTAAGTTCAAGTCGTTGTGTCGACGATGGGATTCAATTGAAGTACTTGTAAATGCTTTTAAACTATTGGTTAGATATTTGTATTGCAGAAAGTAAATTTTTAACACTAAACAACAGCTCTATCAATGTTCTCACGGGTAAAACAGTTTTAATAATATAACCCTATACATATAAATATACAAGCCAATTAGTAAAATTTAAATTAGTATCTAGGTAACCTGATAACACGTGTTTTAATTTATGTTAATTGGATTTTATTATTGATTTCTTATAGAATCTAAAGTCAGACAGTATTCGCGCCATAACCACTGTTGTAGGTAGGTAAGAAATTTGGAAGGTACCCTAACCGAACTAATATAGTTTTTAAATCTACACTACCTACTTAACTCAAAGCAACAATCAATCGGGGTGGAAAACGTTATTAAACGGAAACAAAATCAACAACGAAAATAAACTATGCAACGATCAAATTAAAAATAATAATAATAATTCTGTTATTCAAAAAGTGGTTAAATAATTATTTATCAGGTTTTTTAATAATTAATAGGGACGAGAAATTATAGAAATTGCATATTTTTATCCATGTCTTTCATTTATAACTAGGTGAGCTGAAAATCTGTTGTATAATATTGAACATATCATTCCAAAAGTGTTTGCCATAAGAAATCTATGATAAAATATACTGGTTTAAAAAACCTATTATTAAAATGAGTAATGTCATACCTAATATTGATAGTAATCACAGAATAGTATAGTAAAAGAAATATATAAAATATATTATAATGCTACAGTTTTGAATTATCCTAACAAGTTCCAAAAATGAAATTTATTGAAAAGATTTACTTCGTATATATTAAAATGTTTTTACACTTAAAAAATTGGTTTCTTTTAGATAATAATATGTTTTATCCCTGACTATTTTTTATGTGCTATTAAGTAATAAATAATGATTTCATTGCCAAACAATATATTTTTTTATGTTTTTTTTTCTTCGGTAAAAAGAACAAAACGATAATCATAATAAATATGAAAAGCTGTCCTAGAATAAAGAGGTTTGGTGCAGCAACTGTTATAAGTAATTGAATGTATATCTGTAAACAACGATAAATCATTGCTAACGAAAAATCGATTCTGAGTGAAGTTCAGTTGGTAGTGATTCTTTGGCAACAATATATATGTCATATTATGGTAAAATAATTAAATAGGCGTTTTTTTTAATAATATTTGTTTAATGTATACCGATTTTCCCATGTTTTTCCTAGTTTTTTACATTTGTTGGGAAAACTATTAAGAAAATCGAAAGATTTCCTCCTTAAAGTACCTTCCCAATCATATTTCCTCTCAAAATAAGTGTTATTATTGTAAATCGGAGTGAAATCGCTGGTATAAAAGTTGTTCACAGAAAAAAAAAAAAAATTATTTTTAATTTAAAAAATAATCTTTGTAAAATCTTAAGCTTCTTCGTTCCACTTGGAATCTAAAATAAATGATAATAATATCAATGTAGGCGATAAATTGTTAAGTCCGCCATTGCACCATAGCAAAACCAATACATTTCTTGCTGCGCTCAAAATATAAAAAAAAAAACCCATTTGGTACACCGCGAAGTAAAATGTTACGCAATTGTTTTATAGAACGATACTCGTTGGAATTTTCCGGACGGATCTCGACAGGCGGCCAAGAATTATTGCCGCAATCCTAACGAAACTCGCGAAGACCTCTGGTGTTACACTTACAGTCCGCATGGCAATCCAGTGGAATCATGCGCCGTACCTTTGTGCAATTCTAAAAGTATCAAATTCGATGACATTACATATTCGGCTACTATGTTAATTTCATTGGTGAAATACGGCCGCGCGTAAATACCGTTGGCGTGCATTTCAGTAGCGTCATTTGCGGGATGCCAGGATACGCAAATGCATCCCACGAATTTCTTTTAACACATTTAAAATATGTGGATGCAGATAATTGCATAGAAATTTCAAAACAATACAATCGTTTTGCGATAAATTTTACAAAAATGTTTTTTGTGGTTTTATCAAAATAATTTAGTGATAATCACATAAATAGATATGCAATTGAAGTTAAATATCTTTATAGGTTATCACCGCTTTCGTTATTGTACATTTTTTTTCTTTTAATCAAATTAAATTTAATCTGCAGTATCAGAAGACATAAACCGAGCATAAATAATAGAATATGTATTGGTTACATAATATAATGGATAATAATTTTTTTATTTTATTAATATTAAAAAAAATAATACTCTATAAGTATACACTGTTTAGTGTAGTTTATGTATATTAACAGTATTAATGAGTAGGTTAGGTTAGGTTAGGTTAGGTTTCCACCTTTCTTCATACCCAATTAATTTATGTTTATTTAAAATATCTGCATTAAGATAGATTTTAATAGGTTTTTGAATATATTAGCTTGTAGGTATTATCTATAGATTTACTAATTACTAATCAATATTAATATGTTATAAGTAAAAATAGAATTTTTTATGGAAATGTATTTATTTTGTCCTTTATGTGGTACGCGATCAAAACAAGCGGTTTTACTATTGAATTTTCAATATTCGTTTTTCATAGCACGTGAAACGCATCTCGAGCATTTTCTTGTACACGTACAACAAGAAATCGCGATGTTTATTTGTATAGGATATTTTTCCAAGTTGGATAATTCTTTAACTCTGTGTGCAGTGTGCAGACTGACCGGGCCGGGAGTGGAATACGGCGGTTACGTGAACGTAACGAAGTCCGGTTACCCTTGCCTGAAATGGACGGAAGTAACGGACGCTTTGTCGTCGGCGGCGGCGTTGGCCGATTCGAAATTCCCGGACCACGGTGGACGGAAGGCGGCCAGGAACTGGTGTCGGAATCCGACGGGCGACCCGGGTGGGCCGTGGTGTTACATCTCCGTGGATGGGGCCGTTGTCCCGGAGTACTGCGACATCGCTGGTTGCGACGATGAGGACGCGGACGGATGCGGCCGGATGTTGGTCACCGACGACGCCGATGCCGAGTCTTTGTCGGGCGGCCATTACACCGCAATACCTGTAGGCGATGAACGTCGGGCGAGTTTCTACCTGAAAGCTTGGGATCCGGCGGCGGCGGCGACGGTGGCATTGCGGATTTCGCTGACCGCGTACCCGTACGGGCAATCAGGCGATGGTTTCGAAGTGAGAGTGCCGGCCGCAGCGTTCGGCCGGTCGCCCGGAACAGCGTACAGCCGCGTCGACGTATCGTGGCAAAACGATCTCGTCGTGGTGACCACCGGCCGGCAGTCCAAGGAACTGCTGACTTTCGAGTTGGACGCAACCCCTTCGCCGGTGACGTACGTGAGCTTCGCCGCCCGAGCAGCTCCGGTGGCCGTGCGATTTCCGTACTGCGATCAAACGGCAGGTATTGCAGTCGGCGAAAGCGGGACACTGTAATTTCGCAAACGTTAACACGAGTTGACCGTTTCAGGTCCATTTCCCTGGCACCCCCACCAAAATAAATTTTTAAACGAAACCAAGTGCCTTTTTTTTGTGCTACATTTGTGCTGATTTGTGCCGTTAATCCCGACATTTGTGCTTTTAAACTTTCCAAGATACGGCCGGTTTTCTTATGGGGTGCTGGAGAAATAGTAACACTTCTTTCTGGCATGTACAATGACTATCGTAAGTCCGTATTCTTTTACACATAATTTATTATGTTTCCATTAATATAGCTTTTATAGAGCTGACGAAAACATTATGGTGTTGTTTGTATATCTATAAATTCTAATAAACAATTATTCTTAGATCACTTTTCCACTGTCGGAAATGGATTTATTAAAAATCTTAGTTTCAATATTAGTTTACTGAATGATTATAATCTACCATCTGCTTCATTTTATGTCTCTGTAAATTTACATAGTAAACACATATTATTTTGTGTAAGTAGTAAACATATTTTATTGTTCTAGAATTTCATATTTTTAATTAATCTATAAGGCAGGCAATTTGGCTCTAATTGATTTTTTCATTTATAATAATATTACTGAAAATGTTTTGTGATTGTGAATAATTTCATATTCTGAAATACTTTATAAATTGCTAAATATTATATTATATTTTAATATACTGTTGTTTTTTATTTGAATATGAAGTCATAATTGAAAAAAAAAATCCAGTGTACTGTTTTATATAATATATTTTTATATTACAATTAATAGTTTATACTAAACAATAGTCAGTAAAGCTCATCAAAATAAAGTTCTCAAATTATTTCCCAATATGAGTACGTTAACATGAATGATTAATCAATTGTCATTCGATGATTAAATAATAGAAACAAATTTGTTCATATTTTATTTAAAAAAAAATACTTAATTATCGCATTTTCTCAAAATGTTCAACTAATAAAAACAGCAAATCTTTTTTTAATACAAATATTCATAGATAGCTCTAATATGGACTTACAGACAAACATAATAAATTATGCGTAAAAGAATACGGGCTTACGATAGTTATTGTACGTGTTGGAAAGAAGTGTAACTATTTCCCCGGCACCCCCTATGAAACTCGGCCGTATTTCGGAAAGTTTAAAAACACAAATGTCGGGATTAATGGCACAAATGAAGCACAAAAAAAAGGCCCTTGATTTAGTTTTAAAATTCATTGGTTGGGTGCTAGGAGAATGGATCTGACCGTTTTCCGTTGTATAGATTGCGAACAGCACGTCACCGATAGCGAACAAGTCTACAGAATATTCCCGTTGAGGAAAACCGTCGCTTCCAGTTCCGAGTTGTCGTTTTCCGTTCGTACAGTCGTTTCGGCGTCTGTCACTTATTACGTCGCGCCGAACAAGCCGTCGTCGCCACGTTTAATCGTAAGTCGCCGTCGTTTATTATATTTTCGTCTCGATAATAAAACACGACAAATTAAAAACGATCTGAAGGGCCCGTCACATTTAAAATAAATACGATCACTCAAAATAAAACATTATGGAATATTAACTCATATCGTACAGCTCGATAGCTGTCGGCCCACCGAGAACAATTCGGTAGTAGAAAAACTATTCGGTAGACTGATAAACCTTTCGGTCGTGTACTAACGACATTAATCGATAGTTTGTATTCGATAATTCAAAATATTTGACAGACGACAGTATCAACTTTTCGGTAGTGCCTGTCACCACAAATAAATGATTTCTATGCGATGTTTTTATATTATACTGTTTACTTTAATGTATAGTAAATACAGTGGCGTACCGATAGGGTGACGTGACGAGCAATGAGCCAAGGGCCCGTGATATTTGGACCCCAAATCAGGGCCCAAAGCATTATTTTTCGGTGAATGTACCAGAGTTGAATAAAAAACAGGCGATGACTATTGTTTTGTTTATTAAGAAACACCAGTGGACGGACTGTAAAAGTATGAAAACAGATAGTGACAACAAATAATAAAAAGTGACAAAGTATCATAAACTTTAGTATTGATTTCCAATAATGCAGTGGTTGGAGATTTTACTGACTACTTCTGTTCGATAAATGGTTTCTGACATTCACGTCATTATCTTAAGTAGTAACGGTATAGTTGACATTGTTCGTTCGGGTAACCCTGAAAAGGTAATTTTTGAAGTTTTCTGTAAAAGTTCAAACAATTTGAAACCGTTACAACCATTTAAACCTTGTCTAGTACCTAGTGTCGGCGTTTACGCGATTTCCGTTTCGCTTCAGCATCAACGAAGCCAATCTGGTGTCGAACCACCGAAATATAATATCAATATTGTTATTAATTTTTTGTTTACAGATAACATTTATGGCTCGGCCTGTACAACAGATAAAAATTATTTACAAAGAACATTCGGCCGGCGAGGAACAATTGATATTCAATAGGTCTTACGCGGACACGGCCATTATGTCTTATTGGAAATGGCATCAGTATACGATCAAGTATTTTATGTATAATATCTAAATTAAATTAAATTTCTTCTTGTTGTAGCTTTCGGCCTTTAAGACCAGCCCCCCCCAAACAAATTTGGGGCGCACATAGTTTGTACACGTTTACTAAAATCACAACCTTTATTTGCGCACATTTTTACAAATCGTTTGCGCACAGATTATTTCCACTGCAACCACTCTTTTGCGCACACATTTTCCTTTCCACTTATACAGACTTAGCACTGTCAGTGAATATTTAAACTTCTCTTATATGGTTAAAAATGGTGCTTTTAGTGCCTATGTGCTTACAAATATGTATTAACCAATAATATTACGGTAAAAAAAGCGGAAAGCGGTCATTTGAATTTGTCATTAATTTTAATTACTTCAAAGGTTTACCTTGGAAGCGGTTCATGAATTGTTCATAGTTAAATAGGTACATATGTATATATGTACCTATTCAATTATATGTGTTATTTCTTTTCGACAAAAGTTGTTAACATTACTTTTTATTGATTTAAATTTAAATTTAGTTTTAATCATAAATGATTTATTATCGGCAATACCATTGTCTGCATGTGTGTAGGTATATAATAATAATATGTACCTACGTATAAACAATAAACATATAGCATATTATTTTGTTAACGAATTGTACATTTTATAATATTTTGTGCGCAAACTAGTTATAACTCAAAGTTTTCGCCAACTTTCCCTATCCTTTGCAACTTCTCTTATCTTCTTATCTTGAAATTTGTTAATAGGTAAATTCGTTCAAACATTAAAACTAACTGCACAATGTTGTCGCTGTTTAAGACAAATTCGCTATGTATGTACGACGAAAACTGCAGTAAATGCAGGGGGCAGTAGTATCCTACTATTAGTTTTTCAAACATATTGACCAATATGCTGAAGTAAAATGAGCATACATCCAGTAGGTCAATTCCTGTATTGAAAAATAGTTTGACTTTGTATAATCTTTTCTATGATTTGTAGGAATTGTTTGAATGTTTAATTTAATATAGTATCTACATTATGAATATACGAAATATGTAAAATATTTAAAAATATGTATTTAAACATGTGAAAATACGTAAATTTAAATGGTCTTATTTTATTCAGGGTGTAATGAAACGTGCTTATTTTTAATCATAAATAAGAAATCTGCATTTATACATAAAAATCTACGTCATATTTATTAGATGTAGACATACAGTGTTACGAATTCAGAACGGAAATAAAAAAGACGGACATACTTCACACGATGAGTGGGTCATTGTTGTAGGTGAAAAGTTGAGAAGGTGGGATATCGATGAGAATTAAATTTATATCTGTACGCAACAATAAACCATTGCTAACGAAAAACGATTCGGAGAAAAGTTTCTTTTATGAATATTTTTTCGCTTTTCATAATTATTATGAAAACTGCTTGGAAAATCAAAAAAATGATCTCCATAAAGTACTACCCAGATCAAATTTGTTTTCAGAAAAGGTACTACACTTTAACACTTGAAACGGAGCAAGATTTCTGGTAAAAAAGTTGTTCATAGATAAAAAAAAAAATATTAAACATCGTAAAATCAATACATTCCTTACTACGCTCCGAATCTAAAATTCGAGTTGTTACGTTAAATTTGTTTGATAACTAAATTACAAGCGTATCAGTTATAGTTAATTCCTAGCTGCCCGTAATTAAAAACTAGGTATAGGTATGCAAATATAATAGAATAAAGTACAAGTACCTACTAATTATTAAAACAAAAATGTTCAAAAACATTCTGTATGTTTTGTGTGTAACAGTTTTAATGAAATAATCAAAACAGTATTATAATAATTTTAATTTGTATGAATGAATGGATGTTTAAATAACTCGAAAGCATATCACATTTTCGCCAACGACCATACCACGTTGAATACACCAGTTCTCGTCCGATCACTGAAGTTAAGCAACGTCGGGCGTAGTTAGTACTTGGATGGGTGACCGCTTGGGAACACTACGTGCCGTTGGCATTTTTTTTTAAATCAATTTTTATTTATTATTATTATATTATTTTTGAAAAAATTTGATCTTAAAACACATTACACTCAATTTGTTTTCCTACGTCAATTACGACTAAATTTATAATTTAATCAACTTTAATTAACATATACAAATTCCATAAATTGATGGAGTATCAATTAATTTTGAGTTGAATTGTTAATTTCCGTCGATCCGTTGATATTCGACTTTTAAATTTAGGTTGGAAGAGAGTATTATTTGGGTACGGTGCGCGGCGTGTTAATAATGCGACACCACTTTCCTCCAAGCCAAACTTAAAAGTGGAATATCTCGTCAATGGCTTTGACATAAATCAAACATTTCAATACTCAAATTTATTTCAACTAATACTTCATCTATTTATGGAATTTTTAATATAGGTTACCATTAAAAAATCAAAAGTGTGTAGTGGTTTTACCCCTAAAAATAAGTGTGACAAAAAATAACATAAATATACAATCGTAGAGCAACTTAATTGTTTCTTAAATGTTCTAGAATACAAATTCCGGAAAAGTTCAATACTTTCCGAGATAATGAGTGTACCTACATAAATGGATCACCTGGTATATTATGTCATATTATAATAAAATAATTAAATAGGCATTATATATTTTCTTTAATAATATTTGTTTAATGTTGTACCGATTTTTCCGTGTTTCTTACGTTTTTCCCATTTTTTTTCGTGTTTTTTCTCGGGATTTCACATTCACTGAGAAAAGTCTTGAGAAAATCGAATAATGATCTCTATAAAGTACCTTCCCAGTTAGATTTTCATTCAGAAAAAATACTAAAATTGTAAATTGGAACCAAATTACTTGTAGAAAAGTTGTTCATAGGGGAAAAATGGTCGAAATATTTTTTAACTACGTTACCTACATTTTGTACATTTTCCCGGTTTTTCTTAATTTTGTCCCATTTGTTGATGACATTTTTAGGAAAATCAAAAATAAATACCTACATAAAATATCTCCCTATACCTATTTCTTTCATAAAAGTTGCTACACATAAAAACCTGAGCAAGATTTTTGGTAGAAAAGTTGCACACAGATAGTAAAAAAAAAAAAAAAATCTTTGTAAAACCATAAGCTTCTCTCAGAATCTAAAAGAAAAACACGATTAAGACATTACGTAGGTAGATATTTAAAATCCTGGCGATACTCGTATAAAAGTTTATCATGTCGATTTTTTAATGTTTTATCCGATTAGTTTAATATAAATTATACGCTGGTAAATCTGCGGATTATTTTGTTTTCGTTGTTTTAAAAAGTCTAGACAGTGCTCGTGGCCCGCATAAACATATTATGCGTATTGAAACGACTCCACTGAATTTGACGCATGTATACAATAGTATTATAATATCGGTTAACGGGTTTTCAGGATAACGGATAAAACGTTACACGTACGAATTGTGACCGATCAACAACGGCCGGACGACTCCGCCGCGGTCGCGTTAAACATAACCCATTTCAAGTTGAGGTTTTTCCACTGGTTCGGTATCGGATCGAAGTCCGTTGCCCATTGGACGTTGTATTGTAGCGGGCGCCAATGTACTTGCGTATATTCAGAGCGTAACACGAACGTCCTGCATATGAAATGACTTTTGGTCTATTCCAATGTTTGGAGGTCTTTTATTCTTAAAACTAAAACTTAACATTTTTTTTTTTTTTTTTTACACAAAATCCGACGTATTTACAAACGATGGCTATGAAAAAACGATATAAACTACCGATAACTCCAAAAATGTTTAGACGATTAACGATTTATTATTTTATAACCTAACCTTCGAAGACCAAAGTTTTATTTCAAATATACTTGTAAAATAGCTATCTTGGATTTTTCAGAAACGCTTTTTATTTTGAGTTTTAAAAAAAATTTAAAAAATATAAAATAGAGGAATTGTGTTGTAGCCTAAGGCTACAGTGATTATCAAAAGAAAAAAAAATATTTAAAAATATTGAACTAAACAAAAGTTATTTCTAATGTCAGATCTTCGTGTTGCTTGTACAATGTATATGTTACGACTAGTATTGAAAATTGGATAATGCCAAATTTTTGTTCAGTAGAACTAATTTTGTGTCATTAGTTTTAATACTATGTAGTGAAATGGTCTATTATCAAACATAAAAGTAAGGACATTACACAAATATTTTTAAATTGTAGTATTTATTTATTTATTATTTTTTACCGTGGTACAAACACAGTCAATGTTCTTATCTTTAAGTTTGATAGTACGCCAATTCGTTCTGATAGTACAACATAACATAATATATTATATTATTATACATATACAGTATACACATATGTCATATGATATAACAACATAAAATTGGTTCTACTGAATTTGACATTATCCAATTTCACATGTGACATAGCATAATTTATTTATTTATTTTATTAAAAATACGAGCAGATGCCCAAAGTTATACAAATACAATGAAAGAAACTTTTGGTACAATATACAATAATTAAAATAAACCAGGTAATACATCGTTAGCAAAAGTTGGTTGAAAAGTACAGGTAGTACGTAGATAACAGGTAAAATAAGTATAATGAATTGATAACATAGTAATAATTTTTTTAGCTGGACTTATTTTTTTCAAAATGATGGGTCCTCATTGGCAATCTACATAATTCTAACAAGAGGTTGGGTTCATGCCATAATTGGTGGTGCATATAGGAATAAGAAAAGAAGAGTTAACCCTAGAGAAAAATAATGGGATTTTAAAGTTGAGGCAATTTAAGAGGGAAGGGGAGTCAATATCACCATTTAGTTTACGAAGACATTTTATATACGCTTCAGCCCTTCTGTCAGCTAGAGAGGACTGGCCAAGAGACTAGAGTACTGGAGTGTAGTGTGGAATGTGAACAATCTTTAGTACGAGAGTAGCAAAATTGAGGAACTTTCACTGCACACACTTTATTTGCTTAGATAAACTTAAATTATAAGGATACCAAATTATCGCGTCATACTGTAGTGTAGATCGTACAAGGGCATAGGAGAGAGCCTTAATTTGAATTCCAAACAGGTTCTCTTCACAAAGCCAAGCATTTTTAAAGCTTTACCGAAGTATATAACGTGTATACACTCTTATGTGTTGTGCGCAATAAATCATTGCAAATGAAACACAATTCTGAGCGGAATTAGTATCATTAGTCGTGTTTTTTATTATGCGTATTACATTCAGAATCTAAAACTATAAATAAAAATCACCGACCGACCGAACTAATAATTTTCCACATTTTAGATTACCCGGTACCCGAGTCGGTGTTACCCGAGTGCGCGGTATCGGAATCGGAAAAAAACTATCGCGGGACTCAGTGGACCACCTACGACGGCTTACCTTGTGTCGCTTGGAACGTTTCGTTGGTCCGGAAAGTCGGTTTCGTATTACATTTCTTGTATAAATCGTTATTGGTTTAATTAATAAAATCGGAATTTTCCCTTGTGTGTCCGGTCAAGTTGGTGAAGGAGACCGCGTTAGTCGACGGTGGATACGTAAAAGCCAAAAACTATTGTCGGAACCCAACCAAAGACCCGGAAGGACCGTATTGTTTCGTGCGGGTCGACGCCAGCGAAAACCCTACGGCGGTTCAAAAGCGGTCTTGTCACATCCGCAAATGTCGAAATACGAGTAAGCCGTGGATTTGTATTTATATTTTATAATTTTTACTCAAGTTGATATGAGGTGGGATGGTAATTCGCGAGTTTAAAACTGTAATTAAAGTGGCAGATTTGAAGGGGCAAAGTGGCGATCGCTCTCCCTTTGGTTTTTTTTTAAAAATTGTTATATACTTGTATTTATTAGTAGTAGTACTTAACCAAGTCTGTAACTGGTAGAAGAGAGGTACATTGGATCGAACGATCGAACGTAAACAAATATGAGTGTATAGTAGATATCTACGGCTACATTTAATACATTTTAACCCTCTTTCATCTGAAAGTTTTTTACCTGTATCTATACGATACTAGTTCGTTCTCCCTGTTAAATTAGTTTCAGATCTGCCCAGTAGCGGATTTTCAATATTTTTCTGGGTGGGATCTTGAAAAAATCATGTGTATTTAAAAGGTATTATTAGTTGCTTAGTGCCCCTTTTTTGGACGATATTTTATAGAAATAATATCGGTGTCTGGGAGGTCCAGATCTCTTATAAATCCACCACTGGATCTGCCACTTGAATGGTTTTTTTTTTGTTTTACAAAATTGTACAAATTTTGTCCCTATCTATGAATAGAAAATAAGGTTTTTTTAATTTAGATTAATATTTACTTGTGTATTTTATACAATGACGAAAAGGAAAAAATATTTTTCGATGTGCGATATTTAAGACACTGAAAAGAATGAAAAAATATTTTTACTATTTCTAATATTATATACCTAATGTTAAAAAAAAAAAACTTTCATATGACGATAGTAATTTTAACCGTGGTTACTGTTACAGGATGCAGAGTTACCGGAATCGGGACTGATTACTTAGGCACACTCAATAAGACTGTGTCCAATCGTTCGTGTTTAAAATGGGTATCTAAATCTTCTTCTTCTTCTCCTTTGTCTACATCCCAACTGTTTCTTCTTGACTCGATCCCCCGCATCGTCCTCACATACACCCATCGGCTTTATATCATTCTCAATCACATTCAACCACCTTTTTTCGGTCTTACTGCTTCTGATTCCCCTCTCCTTATGTCCAAATATTGCTATTTGAACTCATTTGTATACTATCGAAGCTACGACTAATATACCTCTCATTCCTTATCCTATCCTCTCTCGTCACTCTACTTATCCTCTAAGATTTCTTATTTTTGCTACACTCATCTTCTCACCACACTCTAATGGGTGTCTACTATTTACATAATAATTATAATATAAAAGTTTCGGATAAGTGAAGTCAGCTACTCTTATTATCCCTGTCTTTCAAATTCATCATCGTCATAACTTCATCGACTTCACATCCCCTCGTAGCTCATAATATCTCCCCTAATAACCTTTAGTCACTTTTTCTTGGGCTGTTCAACGACTTTCAATTACCCTCGCTTATCTTCTTGAGTTGTTAACTTTATGATTGTTCTCTCCTTCTCTCGGCATGTTTGTACCGTGTATACGTATCCGATACTTCTGGTACTTCATATTCTTAACATGCTCGTTTCGATAAATTACATTTGTGTTTTCATCTCTTGTATGCAATGCAAAATGTCAGTTTATAAAAAAAATGCTTTTCAAATTTTAACTATTTAATAACAGATATACCATAAATACATACGTTCAAAAAAAGTATTTAAGAACCAACATAAATACTCGAAATGTATTAAAATACTTCACAAATACTTGTTTAATTTGACTTAATAGTTAATTCAAGTAGGTTTGTGAAATTAATTTTGAAATTTTCAACATAAAATTCAATATTAAACTATTTAAGTACCTATTATTAGAACTTTGTACCGCTTACTTCATTTTATACTAAAAAATGAAAATAAACCATATGAACTGTATATTAATTATAAAATAATTTAATATTTTGAATGAATAAATAAATGTTATGAAATAGAAATTATAAATTTATCATGCCACAATCATTACAAAATTTTATATTGCACTAAAGCAACGTAGTGTTTTTAAAGTGTTAACACATTTCTGTCTCATTCATTATTACACTATCAATTTACGTTTGCCTGACTTCGTTTACCTCGGTTTATAACGAAGACGCCATCACAAGATCTAAATCACAGAGTATAAATTATAATGTATTATTATATTACTTTAAATATTAATTAACAACACGGAATTTTAGATTCTGAGTGGAGGGAAGAACCTTATGGTTTTACAAAGATATTTTTTTTTCTGTGGGCTACTTTTCTACCAAAGATTTTGCTCTGATTTTTAAGTGTAGCACTTTTTATAAAAGGAAATCGGTTTGGAGAGGTACTTTGAGACGTCATTTTTCAATTTTCTCAAGTTTTCCCAGCAAATGTGAAAAACCAGGGAAAAACATGGGAAAAACGTAGGAAAAACGATAAAATCGGTATACATTAATCAAATATTACTAAAGAAAATATATAACACCTATTTAATTATTTTACCATAATATGACATATATATTGTTGACAAAACATCACTTAAACTGAACTCCGCTCAGAATAGGTTTTTCGTTAGTAATGGTTTATCATTGCTTATAGGTATACATAAATTACTTATAACAGTGGCTGCACCCGACCACATTATCCCTGGACGTCTTTCATTTAATAATTGAATTAATAAAAGTATTTACACAAAAATATTCGAAATTCAAATATAAAAATATACGTCCAATACAGTATTTCAAATATTTAATTCAAAAAGTTTTCTAAGTATTAGAAAAGTACCTACATATATTTGCTTAAATACTTTAAAAGTCTGCAAAATGTATACGTATTTACACGGGATCATTGGTTTGAATTTCCGGAAAAAAAAATCAAGAGCGATCGTGCGATCAAGGGTAACAAGGAAAATTATGTTTTCCCGGACGGGCCACCGTCGTTGGCTTCGAATTACTGTCGGAACCCGACAAACGACCCGACGGGCGTTTGGTGTTACGTCGGTGACGGTGCCGAAACGGACCTGTGTGACGTGTCCGACTGTTCGGGCGGCGATTCCGATACGTTACTGACGGGCGGTGACGGTGTCCACTGGCTGTACGTGTTGCCCGAGTGGAGGAACGCGCCCGGCTTGAGGGTGGTGCTCAAGCGGTGGGCGCCAAACGCATACGTAGGCGTCTCGTTGCGTTTTCGGCGGGCCCGCATTTGTTCGCTACCGTACGATATGCTCCAGGTGGGCGCCGATCGCGGTGAAAAAATCAAGTTGTACCGGGTGCGTGACGGGTCCGCCGATGAATCGGCGGCGCCGGCGGACGACGAGCTAGTATACCCGCACGTTGTTATGGCCGGCCGGTGGACGGAGTTGCTGTTTGAGTTCGTGGACGATCGAGACGTAGCGATGAGCTCGTCCGTCGACGGGCAAATATTCCGTTGGACGTCAACGGCGGCCGCGAACAGCAGTTGCGACGGTCGTATAGCGTTCATAGGCCTGTCCACGGTGAGAGGCGGCAACGACGATGGCTATGTGGGCGCGCGTTTCCCGGCCGAAGGTATTTGTTCATAAGATATCGTTTTAAGGAAACTAACAAAAAACATTAAATTTTGACTGTTAAATTTATATTTTACTCGCTAATGTGTTGTCGCCGACGCAGAGTGTCTCGTTCATAGTTCCGAATCCGAACGATTTTCCGTTTACATGCCGGTAAACGTCAGGACGAACACTAGTCTCGCGAGTGCCAAAAACGAAATCGTTTTTCGCATGCTTCGTTCAGGTGCGCACACATTTTATTATTTAAGTAGTATTTTCTAGAAGCCAGGGTGACAGAGAAAGAGAGAGAGAGAGAGAGAGAGACATTTTGCGCGCCGAGGACAGCCAATTAAAACAGTCCTCATGTTTTCCCACTTGTTTATGTCCTCGAAATGAAACTACACACACCGGAACGCATTTCCATGCTCAATGTTCTAGAATATATTGTACTTTAAGACTATTCGAAAATAATTAGAACCGTTTTCGGTAACGTGTTTTAAAATTAGATTATTATCAATTATTGTTTTTAGTAAAATCGTCGAGCAATCATAAATAATATTATGGTTTGGTGTTCCTGAACATATTTTACATAAATCAGCAGATCTTTCACAAAGTCGTATTTACAATTTTAATGTGCTTTTAAAAAATCATGAAAAACTAACAGCAAAATATCGACAATTTCGATATATTTAATTGTAAATTTCGATACCTACTTATTTATATTATTTGGACGCATCCCTACAATTCAAACTAATTTTTCGATTTTCGCGTTTAGCATACCTAGTGTATGTTTTATTTTTGCGTAACAAATCGGAGATGCATTTGAATCGTGTCCGGGTATTTTAAAGGTGGCGTCATTCGCATAGCATTAATAGGACGAACGTTGAGCGAACGTTACGTGTTAGAGATCGATGGCAAACGAGCGGAATTGTCACGCGGTGGCAAGCGGGCAAAACCGATCGGGGGATACGAGTCGAAATCTGGTGAAATCGTTACGGTCGGCGTTTGGACCAGAATCTACTTGAGGTGATAACCGATATTATGTTGATAAATCTAGTTACAAGTATAAACGCATATTTAAGTAACTACACACGCACATTGTACACATGAATCTAATTATTTTTCGATTAAAATTTAGATAATATTTTTCATTATTGAAATAATGAAATATAAACTATTTCGTATACAGAGTGACTAAGATAACCATAGGCGCATCTAAAGCTCTATTTCTATTTCTAATATCTGTTTATGGAATCTTTAGTATACGTAAGTTGCCGTTTGAAAATCAAAGTAGGTAGAGGTTTTACCCACTGACACACGGGTGACAAAAATAATGATAAAATATAACATTTAGAGCCGTTTGTTTTTAAAATGTTCTGAAAAACAAATTCCTAAAAACAATTAATAATTACTGAAATAATGAGCGTTTTACGTTGTGTAGATCACTCTGTATATAAACATGGAATAAAAGCAACAAGCAAGGCCACCAATAGAATTTTTAAAGATTAAGAAGACGTTATACTTGCATCTACTGCCTTATTGGTTTTACACCGTAAATTATCCATTGTCCTACCGATTTTGGCCTTTTTTCAATAAAAACAAAATTTTCATTTTAATTAATTATATAAGCAGTGGCGGCGTGAACGGGGTTAAATTGACGCAACTGCATCACGAAAAGAAAGGAGGGGGGTGGGTGTTAAATGTTGACGTTTATGGTCGAGTAGATATAATATACTTAAGATGCAAATGTGTAGTACATGATGGAAGATATTTAATTATTAAGATTAAAATTCAAAAACCAAGAAAGTTTACATGCCGATCTCTGATTTGGTAAGCGTCTTTTTTATATATAAAGGAGGGTGGGTGGGCGTTGAACAATTTTACTGAGTCATTGAAATAATTAGTTCACGCCGCCACTGCATATAGGTTGCCTATCGATTTATGAACGTATACTTTTCATTTTTGCGAAATAATAACCGAAATCGAAAAATTGGAGTTTTTTTTTTTATTGTATCTACTTGTTAAACCTAAAAAATGCTTTCGTCCAATTGATATTTCACGTAGTTGGAACGAAAGTGTCCTGAAGCTGAACCGGGGCCGGGACGACGAGAGCGATTGGCAGTGGCCAATCGACCGGTCGTTATTGGTCAGATATTTCTCGGTGGCCAACCGGGGCAGCACGACCACGTGGACAGTAAACTGCGACGAGCGGTGGCGCACACCTCCGGACGTGACCGGTCCACCGAAAGATGGCAGATGGGGCGAGTGGTCCGAGTGGACGGAGTGTACGAAAACGTGCGGCGGCGGTACGGGCGTGAGAGTTCGGCGTTGTGACAGCCCCAGGCCCAACATGTCGGGTCGGCCGTGCGCGGGCCCGGCCGCGGCGGTCGGCAAGTGCAACGAACACGAGTGCGGACAGGTGTCTGTCAAAACGGTGGCTGCAGTGCGCCGTTTGCTGGCCGATAAGCCGTACAACGTGGTGGCCAAAGCGGGTGACACACTAATTATGTCGTGCGACCCGTTCACCGTGGATGCCGTGAAAGTCGACTCTCCGATCGCTAAATTCGGTTGGCTCCACAACGGCAAACAGATATTGACGGTGACCAAAGATGATAATTGCACTTTGGGTGAATATCGTAATATTTTAATAGACTTGAATTTATTTATAATTAGACTATCTATAAAGAGTTACTATATAAACGGAGAACAAACAAAGTCATTTGAATCAAAAATTCAATCTCAAGTGGATCTCATAATTCGTGTTGAATTCAAATCAATTTTTGTACTTTACGTCAGTCAGATTGAAAAATGATAGATATGTCCACAAAATTAGTCGGTACCCAATTGCTTTAAATCTATTATTTTTGAATTTGTTGGTGAAATATTAGAAAGCCATCAATACATAGGTAATGTAAAAAAAAAAAATCTCCATGTTGCAAGACCAGTATTGACTGTTATGATCTGGTATTCTCAACTTCTCTTCGATTTGCGTATTCAGGAATGCACTATCTTTTCTAAGTTTCTAAATTCATAAATGTATACTTATCAAAATGTTATAAAACTGTCAGACATAGGTACCTAGGTATTATTGGTTAATATTATTATTTTTAAGTTATTATAATATTAATAAAAAAAAACATTTATTTTAAAATATTATAGATTATATTTTATATTATACTGTGTATTGCAGTAATAAATTCGTGCACAACTAAAGATTCAGGAGTTTATGCATTTGTGGCTTTGCCACCGGAAGCTCAACGGTTTATATTGAAACTGGTTGCAGTGTCCATTAATAATAAACCGTTAACGGTATATATCAAAGACAAAGTTCAAGTTTGGTGTAATGCAGTTACATTGGGTTATGTATTCAACGGGCTGTCACAAGAATGGATTGTAAACGATACCTATGTTATAAAAAATTATGGATTCAATTCTCTTGCATCGGTATAAAAATAATAAAATACATATTTCAAAACTAAATTATCTATTCAATTTTAATTGTATAGATTGATGCAGACACAATAACAATAGAAAATATACATTTTCAAGGTGTTTGGAAATGTGTTGTCAAGAGCACTGAAATTAATAGTACTTGGGTTACAAGTTCAATGGAGATAAAAGGTTCTTTAAATTAAATGTTCCTATAATCCGTACAAATAATATTAATAGTTTTTATATTCATGTAATATTTAGTTATTGGTATATCGACTGCGTGGACACAAATTATGCAAGATCCAATAATACGTATGATATTTAATAGAAATAGTTCGCCAAAAATGGTTGTTTTAATTTGTTCAGTATTTATTTTGACTTTGTGTTTGAGTACTTGGGGCTGTTCTTGTGTAGTCAATAGGTAATTATAGCAATTGTGATTAATCAATGTAATAGATTTAATCAATTGTAATTAAAATTGATTGCAGGTGGAGAAAGAAATTGATAAAAATAAATCCCAAATCAAGACATAAGAACATTTCTTATAAACGATTGTTAAAATAAAAATAACACATTTTGTGAAAGAAAAGTAACATTGTTTAATTAAAAAATTATTATATAGTTCAAAGTTTATTGAATTTAGCAACCTTTAATGTATATTCCTCAACAAACCTATCAGACTCTTCATTATTCAATGTTGTCAATGCTTGATGATATGTACTAGACACAAATTTTGGCGATCCATGCTTGTGCTCAAAATATATTCGATCCATCCACAAGTCTGTAATAAACAATAATTATTTTTAAAGTTAATAATTGATTATAAAATAATACAAATAAAGTAATACTAACCAATATTGGTTTTACCGAATTGCATACACGCCAAGGTAAAATGTTGTCTGATTTTGGCAATGTCGATTTCCTCTTGTTCAGTTTCAATAGTTATCATAGTTTTGCATAAACTTGGATCACAGTAGCTATTTAATATCAATTTATTGTATACAACCCTGGCATCATTCAAAGATTTATTTTTGTTTAACCAGCACAAATATTCATTTCCTAGTTGTTGTCTAACTTCATTTGGACAATTGGATTTATCTCCAAATACTATATTAAAAATTTCTTCTATTTGTGGTTCATTTGATAAATTTTTAACCATAACAAGCCAAACACTGGGAGAAACGTGATTCATGTTTTGTTTAAAAAACTCATAAGCTGATTCTTTATCAATTTCAATCAAACTGTTTATTTTAATTTCTAAAATATTCGGATCATTTGGATATGTTTGTAAAGCCAATTGCAAAATTTCCTCAGTTAGCATGCGTGATGATTTATTAAACTAATAAAAACAAATAAATATAACTATCACACAATAATGTTGAAAATAACTAAAACATTTCTTACCCATTTAACATAATGTATAGGTTTCATTTTTTTTTTTTTATGAGCATTTATCATAGAGTCTCTGAGTAAATTTCTTTTATACATTTCAGTTTTCGGCGTATCATCTGATATTTGTAATATTATAGACAGATACTTGTCCCACATTTCCTCTGTATCAAGTATTGTTAATGCTTCATCATATTTAGAAAGACAGTTTCTGGAAAATAAATTTAAATTAAAATTAAAATTGAAAATTAATAATTTATTATTATTTGTATACCTTATCTTAAATTTTTCTGATTTCATGGACTGATATGTCAACTCATTTTTAGCTAAAGTATCCCAATAGTTTGGATCCTTACTGAATGCAGTTAACATAAAACTGTAAAATAATAATATATATTAAGTATTGTACATAAATAGGTATATTATTAGTTATATATTAACAAAATCACATTCTCAAAACATCTCAGCTTTGCAAATAAAACTGAACACCAAGCTGTTAAGGCAAAGCATACTTGAAACAATCTCTAATATTATATTATATAAACTTAAATGTAACTATAATAAATTTTAATCCTCCTTCTTTTGGAAATGCTGGTATATATAAACTTAAATGTAATTGTAATACATTTTATATAGGTTACGCAAATACATTTTAAAATAAGATATAAAGAACACATTTCTGAAATAAAATTTAAAAAGATTAGGGGCAGCTAATTCAAATTTTACTAAACATTTTTTAGAAAATAACCATTATATAAGTTTTATACAGACTTAGAAATATTAAATACCCAAAATAAAATATACATTAAATTAACATTTCAGATTTAGAAGAATTACATATACACAATGAAATAAAGAAAAATAATATTAATTTTAAATGGACAAATCGATTTTAAAAATAATATCTTATATCAATACAATTTAGATAATAAATAATAACCAAATAATTTATATTTCTTAACATATCTATGTCTAATAATAACTCATTTTAAATAATCTCTCCTATTAAAATAAATTATTTCTGTGTAAAACTTAGTATAATGTAAATATTTGTATAATTTTAGATTCTAAGTGGAGCCTTATGCTTTTACAAAGATGTTTATTTATATTTTTTTTTTGTGAACAACTTTTCTACTAGAGATTTTGCTCCGATTTTAAAGTAAAGCGCATTTTCTGAATGGAAATTGGTGTGGGAATGTACGTTTGAGAGGTCACTTTTTGATTTTCTCAACAAATGTGAAAAAAAAAGTAAAATGTAAGAAATATAGGTATTAGTTAAAAATATTATGGCCTTCTCTTTTCCTGTGGACAACTTTTCAGAAAACTTATTAATTAAATCCTCGAAGTTAACCTTTAGAGCTGTTCTTTGTTCGATAGAAAGTAATGCTAGGCTACTTAAACAATCTTGGGTCATTGTACATCTTAAAGAGTCTAATCAGTTTTAGTTTGGAAAACGATCGTTCTATACTTGCAGATGTTACAGGAATTGTCAAAAATAATAAAAGAGCAGTGTATACTTCTGGGAAACTTACTGTTAGAGAATGGTGTTTTACCATTAAAAGCTGAGCAAGATCTCTTATTGAACTAAGTTTTAAAATTTCACTTTTATTTTTAATATTATAATAATATTATTTTTCAATTTTCAATTTTTGTAATATTAATGATTTGTTTTTTGGATTCCTCCATTCCTATATAGGCTTTCTAGGGTCAAGGGCCTGTGGCCTTTTGCCCGTAATCCCACCCTATCGATATACCACTGATTATATACATGTATAATAGCCCGTAATATTGAAGCCTTTATGTTATTATTTTCATCAAAATTTGATATTAACTCTTAAAAGAAAAAAAAATTATTACATTGAACTCAATTTTTTTTTTTTACCACCAAGTTTGCGTTATAATGAACCTAAAGCATTTTTGTTTAGTCTAAAAATTGTCTTCACAGAATACCTACAAAATTAAAATTAAAAAAACTCACGAAGTTAAAATATCTATAAATAACTCAAAAATGGTCCAAATGTTTTGAAAATTGTATTAAGTCTCGAAACAGCAAATATGATAAACGGAATTGCAACAAAAAACCAAAATTTAAAATAATAATAGCATTATTTTTGTAAATTTGTTTGTTCTTTCTGCGTATTATTTGCTCAATTATTAAAAAAACTATAGGATTATCAAACGACCTTCTTACTCACCAATAAACCTAAAATACAACAAAAAAAAATTGTCTTTTTGTTTTTCTATTGGAACAATATTTTTAATAGAAAACTGTTTGCAAAAATTGAAAACATGAAATCAATTGGTAATGGTAATGCCTTGCGTGCCATAAATATTTGTCATTTTACCTTTAATTTTTTTTCTGTTTATCCAACCTATTGAGTTGAATCCCAATAAAAAAACTCATTAGAAATTCAAAAAAATCACCTCTTTAATACACTAACTAGACAAAATACAGAGCAACATTCTTATTCAAAAAACAGTTAAAATATAAAAAAAAAAAAAACCAACAGATTGTAAAACTAATAGATCCCTCACTACACTCCAAATCTAAAAAATATTATATTATTAGTAAGTCATTCAACTGGTTTAATATATAATTAATAATAAATTAAGTGAACACATTTTAGACATAAAAATAACCGTGCACTATGTGTTGTAACATAAACTGTAGAATGTAGACCTGTGATGAGGGATATTTGAACATTTACCACTGTTGTGAGAGGAGGGTATCATCTCATAGTTTAAAAATATCAAAATTGCTCTACAATAATAAAATTAAGATATTAGCACACTATTTTGTCAAAATATAAATTACTCTGATATTCTATAATAGTGATAGTTCTAATAATGTTGTTGAAAGAAATGTAACAAACAAATAGAATCAAATTTATTATAGAGATAAGCATAACATTAACAAATAATGAGATATATTGTGACATGAACTGTAGTGAAGGGTCATAGACAGTATACATAACTGCAAGCAACACTAATTGAATAATTCATTGTATAAATATACAATATAATATATGAGAATAACAAAATTTAATTTTTTTTTTTTGTATTTTAGTTAATATACATGTTAAAAACTTTTATTTAAAAAAAGTTATGTGAATTACTCCTAAAATGCCAAATATTTGTACCGGTAGAGATTGTTACATGTTTAATAATACACATAGATTTTTATAGGGATACATTAATTGCTAAAATATAATGAATAATAGTTTTAAGAAATTACCTTTTAATTTCATTTGATAAATCCAGAGCAAAATCATATTTAATAGTTTCTTGATACATTTTAAAGAAAACATCACTATCATTCTTTACATTTTCTACAGCAGATTCAAAAATTACTTTTGCAATGGATCCATTTAACACAGGATCATTTTTAATCACTTCATTTTCTAGAATGAAAAAAAAAAATGGTATAAGATTAGAAAACTTAACAGTAGGTAGTTATTAATTTATATATTATTTAATGGTATTACCTAAATTAACCTGAGAATTTTGTAGGAGAAGTTTATTTGAGGAAGCAAGTTCACATTTAAAGGCTTCAAAATGCAAAGCTGCTGAGTTTTTATGTATACGTAGTCCCACGGTATACAATTGTCTTGTTTTTTGGATATTTTTCAAATTAATAAACTCTAATTTTAGAGCAAAAACATATAGTTCATCGGAAATTTGACCATGAAGTAACAATGCACTATCTATTACTTTTTGTAATGTATTAATCCGTTTCTAAAAAAAAAAAAATTAATATCTGTTTAATATTATTTAATGTGTGAGTTAGAATAACTGCATAGAAATGTAATAGTTAATGTTTTTAATAGTTATTTATTAATTTATTGGTTTTACAATGATAATTTTTCTACAAGAAATTTAGCTCAAATTTTCAAGTATGTCAGGAAAGGGACAACCTTTTCATGTCAAAGGTGCTAAACTTTTCTGAAATTAAATTTAACTGAGGTGGTACTTAATGTAGGTTATTTTTTGATTTTTCTAGGGGGTTTCATAATAAATGGGAAAAAACTTAGGGAAAACGAGAAAATGTATGTAATGTATTGTTTTCAAATCGTAAATATAATGGCGCTTCAAAGCATGTACAACTGAACTGCGCTCATAATCGTTTTTGTTAGCACTGATTCATTGGGAAAAATATGTCAGTTTGTTTTTATAATCCATTTTCATACAATATTTATGATTCTACCCTTGTATTGACTAGGAGTGTGAAAGACTTGGACAGTGTTTATACACTCCTGCACTTGATTTTCACTCCCACATTGAATTATTCTCTTGTAGAACTATCAAAGTGCTAGGATTTTTCAATCAAATAGACTCTGAATTTAAAATTTAATCTTCTATTAAGTTACTATATATTGTTCTTTAGTTCGGTTTCTTGTAGAATATGAATACGTGTGTTATGGGACCCTTACACAGCTTCTAGCTGTAGTGTTCAAAAACAAGTCTTGTAATTTGCAGTCTATGTTTTAACGATTAGCCATGCAGCATTCCCTTGTGTTCAACAAACGAAAACTTATATTTCTGGTTAATAGAAGAACAGCAGTAATATATCATTTTTACATAAATCCTTGAACAGTTCTGCAGATATCCCACTATTCAGTGTCAAATTTAAGGTGTCTTAACATAATGTTCCTCCATTCCCATATATTTTTTTTAAGGCTAAGCTCTGCTTGTAATTTTTTTGAAAATTAAACAAATTATGTTGTTTATGGATGTCACTCATATAATGTTCTTAGCTACAAATCACACAAATAAATACATTTTAAAAGGAAAAATCAGTTTATACTATATATCATTTATAACTGCAATTTGAGCATAGAAATGATTTTTATTAAATATTATTTATTTGCTTTGGAATAAGTAAGACACAAACTGTATTAGGTAGTAATATAATGCAATGACACCTCATTTTAACTCAATTTAATAGAATTACAATTCAATTTTCATTTAAGGTAACTTTTTAAAAATTTATCTATAGATGGAGTTTTATAAATTGTGAGATGACAAGAATTCTCTGCCATTTCTACAAAACAAATTAATGTTTTACTAAATTTTTAAATTTAATCAATAGTACATTTTAGAATGACTGTGGAGTCAGTCTAAAATGTACTATTGCAATTACCACTGATAACAAAATATCAAAACTTAATAGAACCATTAATTATTATAAAATTTGAATTGGAAAGACACGCTTTTCAAAATTTTTTTTTTCAAAATGTGTTTTTACCTGTACATTAAAAATCTAAAACAAAAAAAAATTCAAACAAACTTTGTTTGGAAGTTATAGGGGAAAACTTTATGAAGTTTGGAATTTATGTTTTGTGTAATTCTTAATCAGAATTTAACATTTTGAACTTTTTTGTGCATTTTTAATGCTTAATTTATTGGTATAAATAAAATTTACCTATCATACTTACTTTTATAATTATTGTACATAAAACTTAAAAAATAGCATTTTTAATCCAAAATATGGTTAAAAAAGGCCTTTTTTTTACTACCATAATCTTAAGTTATTATTAGTTTGATAACGTTTTTTTTTATATTGAAATCAGAATAAGTTTATCTGGCTAAGTTTTAGAGTTATAAATATAAAAACACGCCGCGTTTCGCTGTGCTTACTCAGATAATTTTAATCAACTATAACCCTCGATTTGTTGTGCAAAATCACGTCAGGTAGGTAACAGGGTAAAGTGAAAAAGCATTATAGGTGGTAGGTTAGGTTTATATACAACAACTATAAAAGTAAGTATGAAAAGTTTTTCCATTAAACCAATGGATAAAGAATTAAAAAACACAAATTTTGAAAAAAAAAATTTAAAAATGAGCTTTGGTCGAAAACTAAATTTATACACAAAAAATATACTTGCTAACTTTATATTATCAATTTGTATCACAAAAAACAAGTAAATTTACTTACATATTTAATCAAGAATTTTATATATTGTTTCCAAAGGGATACATCGTCTTGAAAATTTTTAAGAGCCATACGATATAGATCTATGATTCGCATTGTTTGTTGATGAATGAGTTTCAGAGATTCAGGAGTTGATAACGCCATCTATTACAAACAATTATTTTTTTAACATCAAAATTAACAAAAATGATATATATTTACATTTTCAACTTTCTTGATAATTGATTTCATAAATGTTATGTAGTTGGTAAAATCTGACTGTGTTTTATCACGACGCATCAATCGATATTCAAATTTCTCTCGGTACTTTAAAATGCGTCTATAAATTCAATAACCATAATATGAATAAAAACAATATAAATATTACTGAATTGGTATAAAATGTTAATATTTACTTGACAGTAGGTTTCTTAAAATGAGTGTACAGAAGTGGAACTTCATGGAGTAGTTTCTCTTTGCGACGCTGTACAAATTCCGCCATTTCGAATAAAATTGACTATTACTGAAAATTTGAAAATAATAACTTTTTTAAATTATTCACATAACATCAAAAACAAGTATACTACATGGAACATAAGTGCATGACTAAATAAAATTTAATAAATATTAAAATGTTATCGTTAGGTATCTCACAATCAGATGCACAATTATTACATAACCTTAAATATTTACTTTTGCGGAATAAAATAAACGGGCTGCTACGAATGTAATCCGTTTGTCCCATAAAATACTCGTGCCACTGCCACAGTACTTTTGTTCCGTTGGACTTATGTTCCGCAAAAATGTTTTCCAATGGGCATTTGTTTCATGAATACTTTGTTCCACGAATAAAACGTAGTGTTTTTGGAACAAATGGTCATTGGAACAAATGATTTTGGAAGAAATGTTCACTAACCACAACGTATTTATTCCGCAATATATTTGTACCACAAACAATTTATTGCATAAACATTTTATCCAACAGACCTATACTAGACCATTCAGCAAATATTTCTTCCAATGAACTTTTGTTCTATATATACTTTGTTTCATAATAAAATATGTAAAACGCGGAAGAAGTGTTTTGTAGAACAAATGTTCACTAATTACTAATTAATGTTCATTAATATATTTTTTACAGAACCCATTTGTTCCAGAGGTGTCATTTGTAGTAAGCAGGGTATACATTTGCGTACCTAAAGTCCCCCATGCACCGTCAATCACGTTGATTGTCATTCAAGACTGAACGTGTATGTGTATGGCTGATAATGACTGACAATTAAATTTTATGACCGATGAAATTCAAACATGTTTGAATTTTTATTACGAGTCAAGATGATTGACATTCATAATTGACCGTATATGTCTATGAATGTACAATTTATCAGTTAATCAAGTCGAATTATGTGGAGCAGTAGTGTCTTTCTTGTCTTTCGGAAATTTTATATCTTCGTTTAAAAATGGCAAATAAGGTAAATAATGAAGGATTTTGCCGTGAATTTATGTTTATATTGTAGTTTATCTGCTACGTGGAAAATAAAAAATGATTATACAAAAATAGAATTTTGAAACAAGAATGCTACGTACAATTAATTAATAAATTAAAAGATATCGATCCAACAGCTGACATAAATACAACTAAAAAAAAAAAAAAATCAACACATTGAGATCAAATTATCGTCGTGAGTTGAAGAAAGTCTTAACGAGTTGTGTTGACTAACATAAAATAAAATAACCGAATAACTAAAGATTGTCAGTCTTGATTAACCGTATACGGTAATTATCAATTGTCAGTCTAGTCTGACAATTACGTTGATTGTCATTCATGATTGATCGTGTATGGGGGACTTAAAAGTTTGTATAATAATATTTTTTACCCACTAGGAACAAATGCACAGACTGCGCAATCGCACTACGAAAAAAAAAAAAAAATTCCAAAAACTAATGATAGATTAATCAATAATAAATACATTATTGTGTTGTGATTAATCCAACACAATAAAATAAAATATCTAATTCAGTTAATAACTTTATAGTAACCGGTAAATTATAATATGTTGAAGAAAACCGTAATCATATTTTATTTTTGTTTAAAACTATTCTATTTGTAGCTAAACAAGGTATATCCTACTGGGGCCATAACGAGTCCCAAAGTTCAACTAATAAAGTTAATTTTATAGAACCTCTTGAAAATTTTGCTGATAATAATACAAAAACCCGAAAAAACCGATTGCGTTTAAGATATGGCCTTTAGTGCTCTCTAAAATATCAAAATGATATTCAGTTAAATAAATTAAATACATTAATAGCTTTGAATATCAGGATAGCCTTTTGAGTAATCAATACTATTGAAACTTACCCATCTCCTCGTCAAGGATTACATAAATCAAAGTATTATCGTTTAACCTCCTATTAATTGGGTCAATAAGCCATTATTAATGTAAAATATTTTGAAAAAAAGAAGTGACTCGCTCAATATTTATACGTACCAAAAAATATTTGAAATGACATCCTCGATTTGTTCCTACGTATCTACTTAAATTCCCCAATCATTCCTTAAAAATATTTGACTTCTACAAGTAATTTTGCTCATATTGTATAGATAATAAATATACGCAAAAACACAATATGTAATCTACCCGTGAACGCTTAGGAATAATTTGTGTGTCATAGAGTGTGGCCGAATTAAAAATTCGATTAAAATATAGAAGAAAATGAAATGGTTAACAAAATTTTTCACAGGCGGATATTCGTTTATTTAAGATTTTGTAATATATGGGTAGAGAGCGCATATCGTCTGGAAAAATTGCGTGGGTGATCAGAAGATAATTGTATGTAAGTATAGATCTTATATATGTGTTTATACATCTTTAAAAATGCTTCAGATAATATCTAGTGAAACTGAATTAAAAAAAATTTTAAATAAATTTATTTTTGAAATGATGAACGACCGAGATACGAAAAACTTTGTAGTATGTTTCGACCGAATGTATGGAAATGGAGCAACATTATGGGCATATTGCCATAGAAAAAGACTGGGAATAAATTGCAATTTCCCACAACTCTTGCTATAATCTAAAATCTCAACTTCATAATAATTTTATCGAGGTAATAAAATATTTGTGTGTCTTTAGGTCTTCTCTTCTCAAATTGTTCCCAATGTTAATGTTCCAATATATTTTTCATTATAAAAAATATACCAAGTCATAAAATTAATATATGTACTTACCTAAATTAAATGAAATTGTACACCCTTTCTGCAGTTGAAGACTTTTCTAGCGTGTTGTGAATATAATTGATAATAACATGGTAAATAATGATTTTAGCGCTAAAATATGTATAAATAATTAGAAATAACACAAGTTTTACATTAGGCCAGTAAGATAATAATAAACATACTACCGACTGTGGATAAATTAGAAAGTGATAAAAACTATAAAACCATATGGCTTCATGGGGCCGAAAAATTGACTGAGACTTATTTCTGAAGGTTATCATTAAAACAGATGATAAGTGGAATACACTTAATTTTTGTTTTATTTATTTGTAAATTATACGTTTAAATAGATACGTTCATACAAATATTGACAATATTCCAGATGGTGTGATTCGAAAATAATTTTCAAAACATATGTACCTAATAATTATGAAATTATATTGGAGAAAAAAAAAATGACTGTAAATGCACACAAAAAATGCTTTTAAAATTGATTTTTTTAAAAAATATATATATATAAAGGCAGTCAAAATAATGTGGGTTGTGTTATTTCCGAATAGACTGATTTGATCGTATTGATGGAAATAGTAAAAATAGATTACGTGTTGGAGAAATACAAAATCATATGACAAAATATAGTGTTGGTTTGGTTACCTAACTTCTGCCTCTTATGTTATGAAAATATCTACGTATCTAATAAACTATGTATGGTATGGTACAAAGACTATAGGATAAAATCCCAAAGTCGATTAAAATGTTTTGTAATGGAAAATATATTTACAACAAAAATTTAAAATATAAAAACATAAAACGAAAAATATTAATTTTTTAATATGTTAAAAACTAATACGAGAACCAGGTAATCGCAGGTAATATTTTGGAAATAATTACGTATTTATTTGTGGAAACTATAATATTATATTCTATAACGCAATATAATTGTAATATATTTAATATTTGATTAAATTTGTAATAAAAAAAAAGAGGTGCGACAAAAAGCGATTAAAGTTCTAAATACGACAAATTAAAAATTCCTTGAGCTTTTTAAAATTATCAATTTTAAATGACCTTTTGTTTTCACTGAAATGTATATATAGACTTCGTGCTTATCAGAGATTTTCGACGCATTGTGTTTTTTTTTCTACGAAAAATTGCCCTTTTGTTGTAATAACTTTAAATATGAAATAAAATCAACTTTTTTTTTCTTTTTTTTTTTTTTTTAACTCGAAATGGTATTTTTCCACTTACATCGTCTCTACGATTATTGTTAAGTGCCCATAAAAACTTCCTTTGCCATAAACGTGTACTATTATACGGTTTTGATTTTCGTCCAAATAATATTGTAACGCCGTGTGCAACAACAACACAGGGTACCGTTTTTATTCTTCGACCGGATATTCCGTTTTAACGTGCAGACACGTTTTTCCAATAAAATAGTATTATTTCAACCATTGTAATACAGTATAAGCTGTCTATACAAAGATGTGCCTACGTACCAAAACATTTTTTTTTTTTTTACTACACGTCCGGGTGTCGTGCATCTGGACAACACCGCCCGTTAATACGTTATTACCAATACGCACAGGCCAGGGTCGTCCGAGTTCGTGTAGGCATAATAATGGGTATAGGTGGTACACGTCCCGACGCGATCGTAAGTGTAACGATGTTCGTGTCGCGCCCGACGCTGCTGGTCAGACGACCGCCGCGTCCTCGGAATATTGCGTGACACCAAGCGGGCCACCGAGCGAATCGAATGGCAGCCCGACGACTTTGACGCGGCGGACCCGCCGCGTTCCTCCGGTCCGTTCTTTTGAACAGGCGCGTACACTCGCCCGCATTATTATTGTTATACGCCGCGGCGTTCCGTATGACACGGGCGCGCGCACACCTACCTGAACGCATACGCGTTTGTTTACGCCGCGCGTAGATTCACGACGGTAATGATACGACATGGGCGTAACCGAGTAACCGGGTCCGTCCCGCGGTGAAAATTATACGGTCCACGCGGCGACGACGGCGACGCGGGCATTCCTCCGGGTCCGTACGGTCGTCCATACGACAGAAAACACAATGCGCGACGTTATCGGATACGCGCACCCACATTTATAATACACGGGAAATACGGCCGTATATTTATTGTTGTCATCCGTTCGCGGGACGAGCGAAAATCTCCCCCCGGTATTTTATCTTTTTTTTTTTTTATAGTTTATACCGTTTATAAGGAAATATATACATATATATCAATAATTCAAAAATTATTATTTTAAATTATCAAAATAAAACACTCAAAGTTTAAAAGAAGGCCGACACTGCTATTAGATGTGCTGCTGTTTCAAGAGGGAATTGGAATACAAAAATATAAAATATTTGCAATATTATGACACAATTTACAAATTCAATATGTTCCTTCTAGGATAAATCTTAAATATGCCACTGAATATTCGTATATAACCGCAGCGATTGATTATGTGATATTAGTATACGTTTGCTTACCATCTGGGAATACGTGTCTCATTTTCAGGTAACTGGTGGTCAACCGGATCACCGACGCTTTATCTAATTGACTGGTAATGGCCGACGGCAGTGGCAAGAGTTTTGACAACCCTAGGAATTC